CCGCCCGTCTGCTGGATAACCAACCCATACACGGTCAAGAAGCTTTTGGACGTAAGGAGAAGAGGACGTGGTCTCCAGTTCCTTGTGGACTGGGAGGGTTATGGACCTGAGGAGAAGTCATGGATCCCGAGGTCTTTTATCTTGGATCCTTCACTCATCTCAACTTTCTACAGGGAACATCCTGAGAAGAAGTTGTAGATCGCCTGGAGGCGATCTTTAAAGGGAAGGTACTGAGGCATTTTGGTGATTTCTCACCTTATGCCTCCCCGTTTCCTGGCAACGCACCTGCTGATTGGACACACCTGCAGAGGAACTGGCTCATCAGTGCTGGCTTTAAAAGGAAGACTGAAGGATCAACTCATCGCTGAAGCATCAAACCGCTTTTGGTAAAGATCTCAGCCTAAGACTAATTCTGTAAACCTGATCTGTCTAACCCTTGTGTTTTCTCGTGTGCTTACCTGTCTCCAGTTTAAAGAAATCGTCTTGGAATTGTTTTTTGGATCCKGATCAAATCTGCCTGCCTGCCGAGCCTCTCACCTGCTTCATGCGTTGCCTCCTCGCCTCATCTGTAAATACGACATACACTTGTAAATAGCACATTTGGATTTTTGGACTCTGGACCTCCTCCTCTATGTTTAACCCTAAACCCTCACTAGTAAGCAAAATATATTTATTTGAACATCTCCACCTGAAGAATCTGTTACTTACCTCTGCGACTCCTCTCCTTCCAGGTTCCATACCCCGTTCACTTCCTGTGTAAATAAACAATCACTTATTTATTATTCAAGTTCTTGCCTCCCGTGTTGTTCTTGGTATTTGCTCACGTTGACCTTGTTAAAACCTGATAGTATGCTTCAGCCAAGCAATATGTCCGCGAGCAATACCGGGAACAATTCTGGGTCCAACACCACTTCAGAACAGAAATTGAATGAACATGAACATACTGTATGTTAAATCAATTGTTTCAGTTACATTTGGAAACTAAATCTATGTTAAACCAAGTCTCTCAAAGTGTAATCTCTATTGAGAACAGGCTAAACACCATTACTCCCTCTACTCCAGTGCCCTCTCCAGTTCCTGCCACACCGGCACCAGTTTTCTCTCCCCAGGAACCTGAACTCAAACCATCCGAATTTTTCGATAGTAATGTAAATCAATGTGAAGGTTTTTTGCTACAGTGTAGATTAGCTTTCGCCCAATCTCCCTCTCTTTTCCCTAACCACTCGGCACAAATCACATACATTGTAACCTCTCTTAAAGGGAAAGCGCTGAAATGGGCACAAGCCTTTTTGTCGGCACATTCTGCCGAAACTCTCACTATTCAAGTTTTTCTCTGAGAATTTCAACGTGTGTTTGACCACCCTCTCCAGCAGGAGGCAGCAGCTAAACGTTTAATCAATCTACGCCAGGGAAGGAGATGCGTTGCTGAACACTCCGTGGACTTCCGCATTGCTGCTGAGGAGGCGGGCTGGGAAGAATTGGCTCTCAAAGGTATTTTTGTAAACTCTTTATCCGAGCAAATTAAGGATCAGTTGGCCTCCCGGGATGAACCCGGGAGCCTAGACGAATTAATCGCTTTATCTATCTGCATCGACAACAGACTCCGTGAAAGGAGAAAAGAACGGGACTACAACTCCCAGAATCCCTGGAGTCCGGTTTCCGCACCCGACAACAAACTTCCACTTCCTGATACATCGATGATGACAAACGAACCAGAGCCCATGCAGGTTGGACGAACACGACTAACACCGGAAGAGAGACAGAGACGCTTTCAAGCAAAATTATGCATCTACTGTGGAAATCCAGGACATTTCGTCGCCTCATGCCCACTTCGGGGAAACGGGTCGCTTCGTCATCAACCCAGGGGAGGCTGACGAAGGACATTAAATTCTCCCCTCACTCATTACTCTGTTTACCTGCCACTGTCGTGTTTCAACAAGTTAGATTACCCATTTCTGCTCTCATCGACTCTGGCTCAGAACAAAATCTCATCTCCAGCGACCTGGTTGAACAATTAGGCATACCAATCTCATCACTCGATCCGCCCCGTTCCATCACCGGACTTACTGGACAACAGCTTTCTCAGGTCAAATACAAGATTACAGATCTCCATGTGATTGTGTCTGGAAATCATCACGAGATGGGTGAGTTTTTTGTTTTTGATTCTCTTACTCCTCAACTTATTTTTGGTTTTCCCTGGCTCTGCACCCATAATCCTGTGTTTAACTGGAAGGAGAGGAGAATAGAAAGCTGGAGTTCTCACTGCCTTAAAGTGTGTTTAAAGTCTGCTGTTACCACCTCCGTTAAAGGGGAGGAACCTCCTGTTGAGGAGATTGATTTGTCTAAAGTTCCTAAAGCCTACCATCATCTTGCACCAGTTTTCAGTAAAAATAGAGCTTTATCATTACCACCACACCGACCGTATGACTGTTCTATTGAACTCATTCCTGGTGCCCCCTTACCTTCTAGCCGTCTGTATAATCTGTCTGGCCCAGAAAGGGAGTCCATGAGAGAATACATAGAGGACTCATTAGCCTCTGGCATTATTAGACCATCTACATCACCATTAGGAGCAGGCTTCTTTTTTGTAGCCAAAAAAGACAAGACCTTGAGACCTTGCATCGACTATCGGGGGTTGAATCAAATATCTGTAAAAAATAAGTATCCGTTACCTCTCATTGACTCAGTTTATGATCAGCTCCACTCCGCCACAATATTCACCAAACTGGATCTCAGAAACGCTTATCACCTTGTCCGCATTAAAGAAGGTGATGAATGGAAAACTGCATTTAAAACTCCCCTTGGTCACTTTGAATATCTCGTCATGCCTTTTGGATTGACTAATGCTCCCGCTGTGTTCCAAGCTCTGATCAATGACGTCCTGAGAGACTTTCTAAATGACTTTGTTTTTGTTTACCTCGACGATATCCTCATTTTTTCCCGTGACCAAAGACAACATGAAGTACATGTTAAAGCAGTTCTTCAACGCCTGTATGAAAACCAACTTTTTGTTAAAGCCGAGAAATGTGAGTTTAATGTGGCCTCAGTCTCATTCTTAGGCTTCATTCTGGAAAAGGGGCAGTTTCGTACTGACCCGGATAAAGTCAAAGCCGTGACGGAGTGGCCAATCCCCAAGGATCGAAAGCAGTTACAACGCTTCTTGGGCTTCGCTAACTTCTACAGACATTTCATCAAGGACTACAGCAGAATCGCTGCTCCACTTACCAAACTGACATCTACACTACGAACCTTCACCTGGACTCCTGAGGCCAACAACGCATTTGGTGAGTTAAAGGCTCGTTTCTCGCAGGCACCCATCCTTTGTCACCCCGATCCCAAGAAACAATTTTTCGTGGAGGTTGATGCCTCGGATCTCGGGGTTGGAGCTGTTTTGTCTCAGAAGTCCGGATGCGGTGACAAGCTTCATCCATGCGCYTTTTTCTCTCGACGTCTGTCACCTGCTGAAACCAACTACGATGTGGGRAACCGAGARTTGCTGGCCATAAAACTCRCTCTTGAGGAATGGAGACACTGGCTGGAAGGTACTGAAACACCTTTTGTCATTATGACAGATCACAAGAACCTAGCTTATCTCCAAAACGCTAAACGG